GTTATTTTCTAGTTAGATACATTTTGGAAATGTAAAGACATAGTTGACATTACTTTTAATGTTTTATTTAGCCCAATAGACCCATAATACTATCATTTCAACATATAATTAATAGACAAAGGATTGTTGAGATAGATATTTTACATTCTTTTTTTTTTGTTGTTGTTCTGTTTGAAATCCAGTGTGTGCTTTATACTTAGACTACTCTTCACCTTGGACCAGCCACATCTCAACTCTCAGCATTTAGCTAGACCCTCTGGAATTGGATGGGCTGTTGTAGGCCCTGTAGAGGGTCTGGGTTCCTCCCCTACAGGGCCAGATTCCAGTTTGTAACATGAGATTCTGTCCAGGTGGATACTGACTTAGAGTCAAGGGGCTCGCAGATACCCACACTTTTTTTCAGAGATATTTATTTATGCATACAAGAGCTGGGGTACAGGCCAGAGATGCCAGGGGGTAAGAGGATTCACCAGAGACAGCGTGGGGAACAGAACAGGCAGACTGACTGAAATACACTGCTAAGGGGAGCAGTGGGTGAGACAGGAGAGGTCTGCTTCGCCATGTGGGTTGCTCCCTAGCCAGCCGGGGATCGAACTCATGCTGTAGAGGATTTCAAACAGAACAACAACAACAAAAAAAAAAGAATGTAAAATATCTATCTCAACAATCCTTTGTCTATTAATTATATGTTGAAATGATAGTATTATGGGTCTATTGGGCTAAATAAAACATTAAAAGTAATGTCAACTATGTCTTTACATTTCCAAAATGTATCTAACTAGAAAATAACAAATTAAGAAGGTGGCTCACATAATATTTCTATTGGGCAGATGCCAGGGGGTAAGAGGATTCACCAGAGACAGCGTGGGGAACAGAACAGGCAGACTGACTGAAATACACTGCTAAGGGGAGCAGTGGGTGAGACAGGAGAGGTCTGCTTCGCCATGTGGGTTGCTCCCTAGCCAGCCGGGGATCGAACTCATGCTGCAGAGGCTGCGGTTTACTTCATAGTGTGGTGCTTAACCCCTTGCACCACCAGGGAGGCCCCCACACTTTTTTTAAATGGCGCTAACATTGGTTTACAGTGTTGTTTGTGTTTTAGAAGTATAGCATCTCCCCCTTAAAGTGTTGTTACCACACCACTCCCACCACTACAGCACCCACAGTCCATCCCCGTAGTCCATTGTGCTTCCTCCTTACTTTGTTCTCTCCCCACCCCCCACAACCTCCAGGCTCAGTTCTACCATCATATTTCTAGGGCTTGTTGTTAGTTTGGCTTCATCTGACCCTTTGTTTTGCTTTTCTATATTCCTAATTAAAGTGGCACCATCTGGTATTTGTCTTTCTCCTTCTAATTTATATTGCTTAGCATCCATGTTGTCACAAATGGCAAGAGTTTATCTTTTTTTTAATAACTAAGTAGTATTCCACTGTGTATATATACCACAGCTTCCTGATGCACTCATCTGTTTTTGGATACCTGTTTTGGATACCATCTGTTTTTGGACTGTAAGCAGTACTGTAGTGAACATAGGAGTGCATGTTTCCTTTCAAATTAGTGTTCCTATATTGTTCAGGTGGACACCTCGGAGCAGAATTGTTGGGTCTTATGGCAGATCCATCTTTAATATTTTAACGAAGTGCCACACTGTTCTGCATAGGGACTGGAGCCGTCTATATCCCCATCACCAGTATAAGAGGGTCCCCTTTTCTCCACACCTTCACCAGCACTTGTTTCTGGTATTTAGTTATTTAAAGATTTATTTTTATTTATACAAGAGCTGGGGTACAGGCCAGAGTCTTGGGAGGGAGGCCAGAGACAGAGCAGGGAGCAGAACAGGCAGATGGACCGAAAGCACTGCTGAGGGGAGCAGTGGGCAAGGCAGGAGAGGTCTGCCATGCCATGTAGGAATCTCCCTGGCCGGCCAGGAATTGAACCAGTGCTGCAGAGACTGTGGACAGCTTCACAGCACGGTGCTCAACCTGCTGAGCCACCGGGGAGGTCCTCTGGTCTTTTCGATATGGGCTATCCTCACAGGCATGAGATGGGATCTCGTTGTGGTTTTGATGTGCATTTCCCTGATGACAAGTGATGCTAAACATTTTTTTCATTATTTGCAGTCTGTATATCTTCTTTAGAGAAGTGTACTTTTAGCTCTTTGTTAATTGGGTGACTTGTTTTCTTTTTGTTGAGTTGTATGAGTTCTTAGAGATCTTATGTATCGAGCCTTTGTCAGATATATGATGTGCAAATTTCAGGACAATGTTTTGTTGTTGTTGCTGTTTTAGTGGTAGTTTCTTTCACCGTGCAGAAGCCTTTCAGTTTGATATAGTCCCATTTGTTTACATTCTTTTTATTTTGCTTGCAGTTGGAGACAAGTTCACAAAGATAGCTCTGAAGCCTTTGTCATGGAGTGTTTGTTTTTTTTTTTTTAAGATTTATTTATTTATTCATACAAGCACTGGGTACAGTCAGAAGCGCGGGAGGGTGAGAGAATTCACCAGAGCCAGAGCGGGGAGCAGAGCAGGCAGAAGGACCGAAGTACACTGCTGAGGGGAGCAGTGGGCGGCAGGAGAGGTCTGCGCGCCATGTGGGACCCTCCTCTGGTGGCCGGGGAGCAGCCGGGGATCGAACTGGCGCTACAGAGGCTGTGGGCAGCTTTGCAATCCAGCGCTCAATGGCTGCGCCACCAGGGGAGGCCCTGTCATGGAGTGTTTTGCCTATGTTTTCTTCTACATATTTTATGGTAGACCCACACATTTTTTTATTTTGTGAAAGAACTGGGGTGTAGGCCAGAGGTGCGGGGGTTGAGAGGATTCACCAGAGACATAGTGGGGAGCAGAACAGGCAGATCGACTGAAATACACTGCTGAGGGGAGTAGCGGGTGAGTCAGGAGAGGTCTGCCGCACCTTGTGGGTCAGCTCCCTGCCTGGGGATGGATGGACTCACGCTGCAGTGGGATAGGTGAGAATTCTGAAACTTAACCCCGACGCCACCAGGGAGACCCAAACCCATGCATTTTGAAGTGTACTTGCCTCCAGGTAGCCTCCCAGCTTTCTTGGCTCCCACCGGCCCTAGCCTGTTCCCTTCACTGCTGTCCTTCTTTCCCTTGGTGACCAGTTCTCTATTTTCTCTGCAGGGTCATACTCCCACTTCACCTCGGCCCCACCCTTGCTGGAAACAGCATTATGAAACCAGTTTGATACACAACCCACAGTCATTGCTTCAAAACAGCCCTTGGGCTTGAACCAGGGATTAATGTCTAACTGGAATACAGACTGGCGATGCAGTGAAACAGGACAGGTCTCTCTTCTGCCCATCAGAGAAGCATTCCTATCTATTGCATTTAACATGTTTGTCTTCTTGCATTTTCAGGAAAAGGAAGGATATCCCTACGAGAGTGATAAGGAAGTCAAACATCTATGGAAGTTAAACAGCAGGTGTTAACAAAGCAAGCTGGCCTTGCCATCTTCCTTTTGTTTTATTCCTTTGTACAAATACCCTTGTCCTGGGCCAAAGAGCAGCACGTGGTCTTCCAGAAACGTGTCTACTGCCCTCCTCAGTTTGTTGAAAATTAAACTACTTTCCTTCTCAAACTGTTTCCTTTTATTGGCTGAAGGAAACTAAGGCCGGTGTTCAGTATCAATTGGACTAGTTTCTTCTCATTTCCAAGCCTCTGTTTCCTAATTTGTTGTGTCAAAGGATTTGACCTCCACAATTCTGAGATCCCTTCCATCTCTAACTTCTGAGCCACTCTCATATATGACCCTAGAATTTTAAGTTATTTTCTACACCCTCCTTCAAACCACACTGTGTCCTGGTGGTTACGGGTCACCCTTACAAAACACTGTAAGGATGGGTGGGGGGCACAGAAAGGGATGCAGAGAAGGAGGCAGGAACAGAGGGGGAGACATAAGAAAGAGCAAAGAGAGGAAGCAAGAGAGGGCAAGTGGCCAGACCCCAAGCCCTCAGAGCTCTGAGGCATTCCTCTCTTTCCCTGCTCTTCAGAACCACAGAAAAACTCTGATGGGCATGAGATGGGCTCAGCACACCTTCCACAACACCCCTCCGACCCACCTCTTAGTGAGCTGATCAGAAACCCGTTCAGAGAGACTTTAGGTTCCTCCAGGATCCTCCAGGGCCACACTGGAGCACCTCCTCCCTCCTGGAGCCAGAAGCCAGGCTCTGTGGCCTGTCCACTTCTGGGAGTTGGAGGTCAGGGTCAGATGTGTTAGGACAGGTCCAGGGCCTGAATTTCCCAACAGATAGAAGGAAAAAGGAGCTTGCTCCAGAGAAGAAAAGCTGAGGGCTCCTTTTCTCAGGAGAGTTGAAGACACACCCCTTTGTGACCCACTTTGTCTTTTTCCCCCTCTGGAGCCCCCAGCCCTGAGGAGCAGGTCCTGGGATCTCAATGGAAATGAGAAGTTGGCCCACGTCCCTCTGGGCAGGGCTGGGCGGGGCGGGGCTGGCCTGGGCTGAGGCAGGATACTGCTGGGCTGTTCTCTGGGGAGAGGGGGAATTGAAAAGGAAAAGCATCTCTGATGAGGGCAGGGCGGGAGGGAGGGCGACTGTGTGGCGCGTGTGCACGCGCGCGCGCACGCACGCGCGCACACACACACATACACACACACACACAGCCTCTCTGCCTAACTGGAGCCTCACTCAGAAGAGGAGTGTTCTCTGTGCTGGGAGCTGGCTGTTGGTTCCCCGCCCATCTCCTGCAGTCAGCAGCACCAGCAAAGTTGGCTTCAAACTTGAACAAAGCTGAAGGCTCCAGATTCCTGGAACTCTGCGCTGGCAGCAGCAGGGCCCAGCAGCATCAGAACTTATCAGGCCTGGAGAAGCTGACCCTCTCTGCCCTCATCTGGCCTTGCTCCCCTGGGGTGCACTTCTGCCCCTGAGCTGTAGACACCCGGTCTGGGCTGAGGAATGGTACGCTGAGGTCCCTCTGGAGCCCCTCTTCCCAGCCTGTTGGAGCAGCCCAAGATCCAGATCAACATGGCCAACCCTGGGCAGCCTCAGTTTCCTCCAGCACAGGAGCTGGGCTCTGCCGCCTCACCCCTGGATCTGCCCGAGATGGAGAAACTCCTCACTAAGGTGGAGGTCAAGGATGACAAGCCCCTGAAGCTGTCCAAGTCCCTCTCTGGGTCTCTGGATCTGGAGCAGAATGGCCATGGCCTGCCCTTCAAGGTGGTATCTGAGGGGCACCAGGACGCCCCACTTTCCCGCTCACTCTCTCGGGTCAGCTCGAGGCGGGCATCCTCCATTGTCTCTGTCTCTGATGCCCAGGACCGAGAAGTTCCCAAAGATTACCTCATCCTTGCCATTGCCTCTTGCTTCTGCCCTGTCTGGCCCCTCAACCTCATCCCCCTCATCTTTTCTATCATGGTAAGTTCTGCCCTTGGTTCCAGGAGTAGGGGCTGGACCCAGGGGTTGGCAGGCATGTTCCCCTGGCAGACACCTAGGGTGTAGAGAAAAGAGAGCTGGGTGCTGGGTACTTGGGGGAAGATTCCTGTCCCCCCTGACCTGCTGCGCCTCCTTGGAGAGGGGCTCAGGGCCGGGAGGGCTTGTGTGTGTCCTCCTCTAACTCAGCTCCTGGGCATCCCACTTTGACTTTGTACACATCTCTGCTGGGGAGGGAGATTACTGAAGCCAAATCCTGCACTGCAGGACAGCCAGGGTGGGGTCCTACCCTTGGTGGACAGGGCAATTGTCCCAAGGAGTCATTGCTCAGTGGGACTGGGTATCAGCAGAGATCACAGCCAGCATGGGGTCCCAGGGCCCCAAATTCTCAGAAAGGGAGCCTGTTCCCCCTGCCCCACCCCAGTACCACCTGGGGTTTCTACACCTGCCTCTCCGTTTCCAAGAGCAGGCAGTGGTCTCCCTGCTACACTCTGAGGCCCCTGGGGCCTGGCTCCCTCAAGGGGCCCATGAAGAGTGGAGAGTTGCAGTTCTTTCTGTGGCCTTCTATGTCTTGGAGGTGGTTGCCTGCTCTCAGTATTTGTCTTCAGGCTAGGGGGAGTCTGGACTACATGTCTGGAAACCATGGGTGTCAGAGGGCATGGCTGTCCTCGTCAAGGAGGGGCATGTTGCTAGTTTTTACTTCTCACACTCTTGCGCTGTAAGTTTGGGTAAATTGTCCTAACTTGTCCCTAAATCCAAGCACAGACATTAGGATAGAGCTACTTACAGAAAATGTCTGTAGATGTTGGCAAGTGACTTATGAGGTGCAGGAAGGGAAGCGGGGAGAGAGAGACTGGACATGGCAGTAGCTCTCAGAATGAGGCTAGGAGAAGGGCCAGGACTGCCTGCCCCAGGCTGGCAAGGGCCAGAGAACTGCGTGGGGAGACATTGTGTGGTTCCCTCAGGAGCTACTCCACTGCTGAGTCATATATCCCTGAGCCCCCAGGAGCTGTGGCCATTTCTGCTGCCCTCAGGTTGTCTTCTGAGAAAGCCCCTATTTCCTCCACTGAGGCCCAGTCTCCAGCCAAGGATGCCTTCCCCAACCCCCATGAAATCTAGCACCCCTCTCAGGACCCCAGGAGAGTCTGGTAGGCTTGAGTCTGAAGGACTGGGCATGGCACAAGAGCTGGGACTGCGCAGGGCCCAGGGTGGGGCCTTCGAGGAGCTTCCTGTGCAGCCTGTGGCACTTGGGGACAGGTGGAGGCAAAGCCAGGCCCGGGGGTGAGCCAGTGGCTCTGGGCAGGGACAACCTCTTGGTTACAGGAAAAGGCCCCGGGAGAGAAGACAGGCTTTGGGGAGGGAAACCACACCAGGGCCCAAGAGAAACCAGTTGCTAGACTCCAGCTCCTGGAGGGGGTGGTAGGCACAGGCTGCGTAGATACTACCTTTGTTAAAGGGACCTGGGCCCAAGGCTGTGAGACTCCCTCACCCACCCTCAGTACATTTCTATGTCCTTCTAAGCTTCTTGAATCCGGTGTGACACTCACTGGGCCCAGGGCAGGGCAAGATGCTAAGCCAGACATCACCACTAATTCCCTGGAGCCTCCAGTCCAGTGGGGAGAAACTGTAAACAGATCCTCACACCACATTGCAAGATTCGCCTGTGCTAGACCAACCACGAGGTGTGGTGACCCAGGCCAGTCACTCCAAACGCCTCTTCTCCGCAATATTCCCTCTGCAAAATGGGTGTCGCCCTAACACCTACATTACAGAGGAGCTGTGTGAGGAGAAAAGAAGTACACAATGTGTTTAAGAAGAACACTAACATGTAGTGAGTGCTGGTGCATGGTGGTTGTACTTAGTGGCCCCCAAGTGTCTCCCTAGTGGGGGATGGGAAGTCATCATAGGTCTGTTCTTTTTATAGCTTCAAGATGTAACTCACATGTCATGCAATTCACCTACCTATTGTGTACACTACAGTAATTTTTAGCATAGTCACTGATAGTGCAATCATAAACATAGTCAACCAAAGAACATTTTCCTCACTCCAGGAGAAACCTGTCCCCTTTGCTACTCCCTTCCGCCCAGTGCTGGCCAGAACTAGGAAACCACTGACCTTCTTCTGTCTCTAGGGATTTGTCTCTTCTGGACATTTCTTACAAATGGTATCTTACCATATAGGTGGTCCATTGAAACTGGCTGCTTTCACTTGACATGACAGGGTTTGGAGCCAGAAAGGAATGTGGTTAAATGTCTATTTTGGTTGGCTGGTCTGGTAAAGGGGGAAAAGAGGAGCTGAGGGGTCCCTTGGTGCCTGGTATTTGTAGGCAAAAGATGAGATGAAGAAGCCTAGACTGAGATCATGACAAGGGGCAGGAGGGTTTTCTGGAAACCTTGTGAGAGTTGGTAACATACACCTATCATCCAGTCCACTTTTCACTGGAGTCGCAAGTTACTGATGTGGAGGGAGCCAAGTGTAGAGGATGACTGACACCTCATGGGTGAATGTGCCTCTTTCATGACCCGGATGCCATGCTTGGTACGTGGGAAGCAGATGGATAAGACATGGTCTGTTAGGCAGACAGGGCCTGCTCCAGGAATTGTGGTTTTGTCCTAGAGACTATGAGGACTCCCTGGCAATTTTTAAGCAGAGGTGGATGGAGTCAGTTCATATTTTAAACCAACACTCAACTGTATTGTGGGAAACGAGCTAGAGCAGGCAGGACTAGGGACAGGAGGACCCCCGAGGAGGTGTTTGAGATAGTCCGGGCAAGGGTGACAAAGGCCTGAACTAAGCAGTGGCTTACAAAGGAGGGCACTAACGAGTGAATTGTCAAAAGCTGTTAAGAATTTCTCTAGACTCCTGGTTATCCAACTCAAAAATATTGCTATCTTAGAGCTTTGAGAACCTTAAACATTTAAGGGATAAGCAGAAGTGGACAGAAAGGGGCTCTGAAAAGATTCCAGGAGGTCAGAAGAAAGCTATAAAAGAGGGAGAGTCACCTAGGAAGGAACGAGTTTGAAGTGGGAGGCAGAGGTCAAATGCAGATGCAGCAAGGGCGGGAGTGTCCAGTGACTTGGCCATTTATAGGCACCTGGCGACTTTGCGGGTGGAGAGGCTCGAGCAGTGAGGAGAGAGGGGGCTGGTGGGCCTGAAGATCATCCAGAAGAAGGACTCCCCTCCCCAGGAGCCTGCAGGAGAGGACATGAAGGCAGAAGTAGATAGAAATGCTCAAAGAAAAAGAAGTGAATTCTTGCTGTGTGGTCTCCATGCCTCCAGCCATGGCCTCTCGTTGAGATGTAGGCTCCTGGTGACTGAGGAGAGTAGACATAATCAGGGACAGAGAACTCAGTGACCTGAGGGCTTTGCTGAGGCACAAACCCAGAGTCTGAGTTGTTTCAGTCTGCCTGGTAGACTGTTTGTCCTGCCGTCAGCATTGGGCTGACCCCCGGCTGGGTATGACAGAGCTTCCACGAGGACAGGACCAGGCGGCACAGAAGAATGCCAGACTGAGAGTTGAGGCCTGGGGAGGGTAGGTTAGGTACTGTGAGCTTGAGTGGGTGAGTGAGATGCTGGGGGTTGGGATTTCAGAGGAAGAACCAGATGGGGTGATGACAGGTGCAGTATTGTTGTGGAAATGAATTTCCACAGGGGACTGTTAGTAGCCAGGGGGAAGGGACCTGAGGGAGCCCCATTTGAGGGCTAATACTACTAACATTCACTGCATGCTTGCTAAATGTTAGGCTCACATCCAAATTCTGTGTGTACATTAACTTGGTTAATCTAGACTGTTGCCTTATGAGGTCCAGATAATGTTATTATTCATATTTTACAGATGGGAACACAGAAGCAGGAGATGTAATATAGCCTGCTAGTGACTGGGAACCCCAGGGTCAGATGGATGCCTGCAGGCAGCACTCACGATCCTACCTACTACACTAGCTTGCCCCCTTGGGAATGGGGGGACTCTACATGGGGAGCATTGCTGGATGTGCCCAGTTATCTCCTCTCTTCTGGGAGCCTGCTTAGTTCACTGGACACTCCCATCATTCCCCGGGGCGGGAGATACTACTTGTTCCTCTAGGGGTGAAACACTTGGGTTCTCTTCATAGCTATTTCCCCTCCATCTTGCAGATGAGAAAACTAAGACTTCCAGGGCAGTGTGAGCTTTACATTGGATAGCGTCTGTACAGCCTGCTGCAACCAAGTGGCTGCAGTCAGGTCAGCTCTGTTCCATCTGGTCAATCCTAGTGCATTTCCCCCAGTGATATCTCTCAGGCTTGAAAAAACAGTCATGGCTGGGTTGCAGAGGCTGATGGCTCTTTGGATAAAGGAGAGAGATGGAGCTTAGTGTGATCAAGAAATGACCCCTCCCTTCCCCTCCCCATCTCTCATACCCAAGTCACCGGATGTGTACCTCTCTCCATGGTTCTCACTTCTTATTGCACACATGAGTATACTCTGGGAAGGGTGTGGGTGGCAGGACTCATCTCAAACCCTGCGCCCCTCGCTCTGCACCCCCTGCTTACTGCAGAGATGGAGTCCTTTGGTAAGAATTCAAGGTGGTCCCAGAATGTCTAAAGTCAAAGTTCCTGGAAATCCCTGAAGCCTTTCTGTATGTTTCCCCCTCTTCCTCCCAAGGTTCCCTTGGTGTTGAAGTCTTGAGGTCGGTGGCCTGGGCTGGCCATACAGGGAGCTGCAGGTAGCAAGGGTTAGTGGGTGGGACCACAACCCAGATGCCAGATATCTTTCTTATAGGAACTATTGCTCTAATTTTTTCATGAATCTTCTATAAAATTTGAACTTGGCTAAGTTCAATGGTTAGAAAACAGACTCTTCATCCTTTTTCTCTCTCCTTTCATTCTTTACTTCCTCAAACATTTGTTGAATCCCTAACAGGGTCTGTCCCTAGGTCACCTATGAGGGATACCAAAATGGAGGCTGCATGGCCCCAACCTTCAAGGAGCTTACAGTCTAGAGAAAGAGACAGACTTGGCTGTAAGAAATAATGAAGCAAGGTGGTAAGGGAGAAAAAGAGTGAAGCAAGATGCTGTGGGAGCCCTGAGGAGGAGAAGAATAATTGTGTGGGGACCAAAAAAAGTTTTATTGCAGGTGACTCTTAAGAATGTGGAGGAGGGCCTCCCCGGTGGCACAGCGGTTCAGCGCTGGGTTGCAAAGCTGCCCGCAGCTTCTGCAGCGCCATATTGAGGTTGCGATATGGTAACAAAGAAAGGCATTCCTGCAGAAGCAGCACATGCAAAGGCACTGAGGCACAAAAGTATATTTCTTTCATGCGGAACTATGTCACCAGGTTTGGATTTTAAAGCTAAGAAAGAGGTTGCACGAGGGGCCTCCCTGGTGGTGTAGGGGTTATAGCTATGAAGCTATTGCCAGCCAATGCAGCATGAGTTCGAGTCCTGGCCAGGGAGCTACTCACATGGCACAGCAGACCTCTCCTCTCTTACCCACTGCTCCCCTCAGCAGCACCTGTTCTGTTCCCCACTCTGTCTCTGGTGAATGCTCTCACCCCCCCACTCCACATCTCTGACCTGTACCCCAGTTCTTGTATGCATAAATACATAAATCTTAAAAAAAAAAAGAAAAAGGAAGAATGGTAGATTTCCGGACATACTGTCATATAATTAATATCCTAACTGGGACACCTCTGAAAGTGAGAGGGGTGCGATTAGTAATTTCACCAAGACCCGCCCAATAGGCTTTCCTCCTAGAACAGGGTCTCCCTCCTCTGCTGGAGTTGATGGTTATGATTCTTTGTCCTTCACCAACCTAATGCCTATTGGGCATTGGAGGGAAGAAAATCTCCCATAACAACACAGATATTACATTATACTATTTATTGAGCACTTACTATTGCCAGGGCACCATGCTAAGTCCCCTACTTGTATCATCTCATCCAATCCCACCACAAGCCAATGAAGTAGGTTCTGTTTTTACAGATGAGCAAATTGAGGCATAAAAGAGATAAGCCATTTGCCCAGGGCCCCACAGCTGATACATGCCTCTCTGCTGCCAGGAAACAGCATGACACCAATCACTCCTTGGTCTAGTCACTCACTCCCCCTTTGATGGACCTTTTCTCTCCTGTCTTGAAGAAATCCTCGATATGCCTCAACCAGTTGTATCTCCTCTGCCATCACGCTCCTCCTCCATCCGCAGCTGAGCTTTTTTTTTTTTTTAAAGATTTTTAATTTTTATGTATTTATGCATACTAGAACTGGGGTGCAGGCCAGAGGTGCAGGGGTAAGGGGACTCACCAGAGACAGGGTGGGGAGCAGAACAGGTGGATCGACTGAGATACACTGCTGAGGGGAGCAGCGGGGGAGACAGGAGAGGTCTGCTGCGCCATGTGGGTCACCTCCCTGTCAGGGGATCAAACTCACTACAAAGTGGCTGGTGATAGCTTGATGGTGCTGAGATTTTAACCCCCGTGCCACCAGGGAGGCCTGGCAGCTGAGCTTCTAAGAGCTGGCTCCACTTGCATCTAACTTCCTCATCTCTCCCTCATTCGTCATGTCCCTCCATTCTGATTTCTCTTCCCTCACTGCACTGAAACTTCCTCATCAAGATCGTCCATCTCGTCTCGCTGTCACTAGTCATTATCAGCAGCTGAGTCCTCATCTTGCTTTACGGCCATGCATGAGGCGGTGCCGTCGGCACTCCTTCCTTCTTGAGATTTTCCATCTTGGACTTCTGGGATGATTCTCCCCTGCCACTTGCCACCCCTCAGTGGTCTCCCTTGCAGGCTTCTTTCCCCAGCCCTCCCCTCCACCTTCACGATTTGATGTCTCCCATAGGCCCATCTGTGAACCTCGTCTCCCAGCTGCTATCTCCCCGAGTGACCTCATCTGCGCCCAGAGCTCCAGTTGCCGTCCACAGGCTGATGACTCCTGGGCCCCGACCTGTTTATCCAACTGTGTCTGTCTATTCACAGTGCTCAGCCTCCTCTGCCTGAACGAGTTCAGTGATGCATGGTCTCTCTCCCTCCCGCTCGAGGAAAGGAACTTCCCCTCATCCATTGTCCATGCCAGAAACCTGGATCCCAGTCACATCCCTCTCCCACGTACCCTTTGATATGAGCAGAGAATACCTGGATACTCTCCTCATAACTTCTCAAATCCTAATTCCTTTCTCAACCTTCTACTTAGTTTAAGTCTTGAATCTGTCATCTCCCAAATGCCCAGCACTCTGATCCACACCGTCACCACAGAGATGGTCCCCAAAATGCAAATCCAGTTATGTCCCCACTTGCAAATCTTCATTAATTCTTTAACGCTTATAGGACCAAGATTCCTTTGCATGACAGTTGGGGCCCTTCTTGATCTGCCATTTCCCCACTTCTCTAGTGATTTCTCTTACCATATCTGCATGGTGCCCTATGCTCCAGCTTCACCTATAAAATGGGCTAATAACAACGCCTGCCTCAGAAGTATCAGGGGGAAAAATGTTCTAATAGATGGCAAGCACTTAACATAGTTCCTGTCACAAGGTAGATGTTCAAATAATGTGAGGGATTATTACTGCTCTAGTGGAAGTAGCACAGTCATGGTGGGCTTCACAGAGGAGATGGTCTTAGCGCCAGCCCTTGAAGGATGGAGAGGATTTGGACTATTTCCCATCCCCCAGCTTCACATACTAGCTCCCACTGCTTCTGGGATAAGGACCAAATCTTCTGGTGGGCAGATCCCTGCCTGACTGGATCAACCCACTTCTAAGCCCTACCTGCTTCCTCATTTTCTCAACTCCAGCCACATTGGCCTTTGTCCTTTATTTAACAATGATTTATGGAAGGTGTGCGTAATTACCCTGCAGGATGCCCCTCTGGATCTTTATACACACTGTTCTTTCTACTTGGAACACTTTTTTTTCTTTTGAAAAAAAAAAAAAAACATTTAATTCTTATTCATCCTCCACATTTCAATCCATTTGTCCTTACTCCAGGAACTGTTCCCCAAATCTCCCCTTTTGTAAGCTAAGCTGTCATGGTAACAGGTGCCTCTCCTTTGTAACATACCCACAGTTGCAATTTTACTATTGTGTCACATGATGGAGACCAGCCTCCCTCACCAGGCTGGAAGCTCTGTAGCAGGGGAACTGGACTCTCCAGCATGCTCCTGTAGCCTGGGGGCTGAGTACGGTGCTTAGCATAATTTTCTGCCAAATGAGATGGTCTTATGGGGAGGAGAATGGAGAATAGAGTTTGGAGTGGGGTGGGGAATCTTCAGGAAGATGTTTTCATGGCTTCAGTAAGAAGTGGCACCTGGAACGAGGGCAGATGTGAGGAGCTAGAGAGAGGAGAGTCCAAGAGAACTGGCTAGGACAGGATGCTGATTGGTAGGGGGGACAGGAGAGGAATGGCCACCAAAGGGAGGCATTCTAGGCTGTTGCCATAAGCTCGAGTGTGAGCAAATGGAAGGAGGAGCTCAAGACAGAACAGATCTGAGCAGCAGGAACTACAGTTTGGGACAAAGTGAGTTTGACCTCATGGTTTTCTGGAACAGGGACCCACCAGGTGGGGGTGGAGGGTCAGGTAGATTTCTGAAAGGTGAAGAGAAGTGTGGCATCAAGAGAACAGAGAGGGAAGGGTCACTTAGCAGGCGGCCAGGCACAAAGTAAAGGCTCAGTCACTCTTATCATCAAGGTACTGGACTGCATTTCCATGCTGAACTCAGGAGCCTCAAATAATCCAGAAAATCAACTAGGCCTGAGGTCTTGAGAGTAGAGGCTTGGGGAGAGAGGCCTCCATGGAAACACAGCCCCTTTCACCAGTGTCTTATAGTTTTCAGAAACTACAGAAATAGTCTTTCACCTCCTTAAATTTATTAAGTATTTTATTATTTTGATGTGGTTGTAAATGGGATCCATAACTTTCTTTTTCAGAAAATTCATTATTAGTGGGGACACACCTCCTATTGAGTAACCTCAGGGCCCCTCCTCTTTGTCCTTAAACTACTCAACTCTACCCTCACATGCCCAGATTTCACCAAATTAAATGGAGCCAAGGAAAACCAAGCTCCCTGAGAAGAAGTGAAATACCAAGCAGGGCCCCTGTGCAGCTGTGTGTGGCTCTATCTCATCCCCAGCCTTCCTGGTTAAACCCAAGATGCCTCCCCTTTCTGGCTGAACAGGATGAGGCTCCTAGAGGGAGGGAGTACCAGTGGTTTTTAAAAAGTAGCCAGAGATGGGTCACACATGACAAGAGGCTGGCCCATTGGGCTGGAGGAAAAGCCCCCAGTTTGCCTCAGGAAGCCAGTGGGGCTGAGCCTTGGGCTGGGATCTCCAGGTACCTGGTTTATCCAAACCCACCAGCTCAGTGCGGCCTGGACCTGGTTCATCCTCCCAGTCCTCCGTCCCCACTACAGCACTCTTCCCTTCCTGAGAGGAGATGCTGCATTGCTTGGTTCTGCTCCAGCTGTTCCCAGCCAGGGAGAGATAGCCTCGGCTGGGGGTCTGAGAATCTGGACAACTTGAGCCCAGGCTACTTCTCTAGGAGGAACCCAAATCCTCTCCCCTGGGGAAGTGGGGCTGCTGGAGTGTGGGAAGCCATGGGGCCTGGGTGTGTTCTGGAAGCCTCAGCAAGTAGCACCCTGCAGAACTGCAGAGGATGGCTTCCTGGGGTCTCCGGCCCCTCTCTCTACAGTCTCGGAGCAGCGTGCAGCAAGGGGACCTGGATGGAGCCCGGAGGCTGGGCCGCCTGGCCCGGCTGCTCAGCATCACCTTCATCATCATGGGGATCATCATCATTGTCGTGGCTGTGACTGTCAACGTTATAGGTGAGATCCCATTGCAGAAAGAAAAGGAGCCTGTTTGCTGGGTGTGAAGACCGGGGAAGGGCCTAGCCCAGCCCTCTGGGGTGGGGAGAATGAGAGGTGGATGAGAGCATGTGGGGGTCAAAGCCTTATGTCTCACTCCAGAAAAGCCACGCAGTTCCCAGCGGTGAGCTGCTGGGTGGTACTGGCTGTCCGACCTGTCTCTTGCCTGGAGTCCAGCAACAGGAAGCAGGGTAGGAAGCGCACAGGTGAGGGGGTCAGAGGCTACCTGTCTCAGCTCTGCTGGTCCTGGCTCCTGGGCCAGTGTCTGTCTGTCTGATTGAGCCTTGAGGTTGTCATGTCTAAAGTGGTAGGAAGAAGCCCCCCAACACTGAGGCTGCTTTGTAAATTGTGGGGTTTTGGCACATTCTTGCTGAGACAGCCAGCCCAGAGCAGAGGAGGCAACCTAGGGGGTAGGAGTCAGGAAGTGACACTTTTGTGTGCACCCAAAGATGGCCCAGTGACATTATCCAAGCAGGGGACCGTTTTCAAAGGTGACTCAGCTGCTCACAAAGCCCACCCTGCTTTGTGGGTTTCTGGGCTCTGCAGGTCTGGTCTCTGCTTCCCTCCCTTCACACCTCCCACTGGGAGGCCCCCCAGCATCGCCAGCTCTTCAGTGATCACCCTGAGGTAAAGACCTCGCGACTTCCCAGGTGCCTGATGGACCAGCAACAGTGGCCGCTGAGGGCGGGAAGTTACCAGAAATGTGGACTCTCAAATCCCAGCCCAGATCCACTGAAGCAAAATCTGCATTTTAATAAGATTCCCAATCTAAGCATTAAAATTTGCCAGCACTGGCCTGGAGTGTGGAGTGTTAGACTGAGGACAGGAAACCTGGGATCTGGCCACGGGGCTACCAGCAGCCTTGGCCACTTAGCAGAGGGACGAGTTCGGGTTCGCCCTCAGCCTGTCTGAGTTCAAGTTTCAATCCTCTACTTCCTGCGCATCTGAGTGGAATCTCCCTGTGTCTGCCGGGCTCTCAGATACAGGAAAGGCAGGAACCCGCCACCCTGGGCATTAACCTGGGTCGCCTTATGAGGTGTGTTCTTGGGATCCTGCCGCTGCTGTCATGTTAGCCATGACTGTTCTGATGGCGAGTGAGTGCTACTGAACGCAAACTGGCCAAGGGGCTAGTGTAGCTTTCACTCCAGAATTCCAGTCTCGGTGGACCTACATCCAGAGAGCTCATGTGTCTCTGAACTCATCGCCAGGGCCAGTCCTCTGAGTAGCAGGGGTCAGTTCTACCAAGAGCCCCAAACCAGTGATCCCTGTTAACGCTTCCTACTAAGAAACAAAAGCCAAATGCGCAAAATGGGGACTTGAAGACCCATGTTCTGAGTTCTGTTCTACCCTAACTGTTATTTTCTTTACAGTTCAGGAGAAATAAAACTACAGGGTGCTGGGCTCACTGAGGCAGGCCCTGGCCCGCTGGAGGGAGCGCGCCAAACCCACACACCCCACATTCCACAGGAGGATAGGATGGTGACTGCCACGTGCCCACCTGTCCCCGAGCTCCAAAAGCACAGACTCAGAGGGGAACCCCCCAAGTCACTCCACCGTCAGCCCACAGCAGATGGGAAAAGCTAGGACAAGGAAGGAAGGAAGAGAGGAAGGAAGGAAAGAAAGATTAAATTTACTGTGAAACCAATGAATAATGTCCGTCTCGTGGACATATCCTGGCATTTTGACCCCAGTGTTCTGGCTTGTTTCTCAACCCCACAATCTCCTGGGACTTACCAAGCAGCATATACTGCCAGAAAGAGAAGAAACCAGCCCCATAAACATGACAAACTCTGGGGGGGAGAGAAGTGGCAAACACACTCCCTGCGTGTCTGATGCCCAGGAGCAAAGGGGTAGGACTTCATCTTTTGTACTTTCCTTGAGGCGGGGATAAGAGAGATTGCTTGCCTGCCTGTGCCACACGTCTGCTGCAGTCCCAGCCAGTGCCCTGAGGTCAGAGGCCGAGCTGCTGCTCAGCTGCACCCTGGAGTCCCTCGGGCACAGAGGATGAGCATCTGCCTGCAGAGGGCCACAGCCACCCTTAGGTCCTGCATCTCAGGATGGAGGCAGCAAGAGGAACATTGGTGAAGACAGGAACGAGACCACACGAGCCATGGACCTCTTCCCAAACTCTCACACCTGGGAGGACCTCCGCTGAGAACCTGTTCTGGGAGGATCCAGGCCATCTCTCCCTCCCTACCGGCTATAGCCTGGGGCACCAAGACCTCCCAGGGACCTGACCTAGCCCCTTGGTCAGTGAGGAGACAGGAGGCCTGCCATGGCCTCCCTGATAGCCTGGGGTACAAATTTGGGCCCCCATGCAGAGTGGTCAGCGCCCCATGCCCAGAGGCTCAGGGTCTCCTTGCCCAGTGGCTCAGGTGGGGGCCTGGGCTCTTGATTCCCAGCTCAGTTGCATCTGATGGCCTGTGCCTCACCCTGTGAGCTTGGTCTTCCACAAACAGCAAATGTTTTCCCTGGAGGAGACTTTGGAGCCACTCTGGGAGGTGGCTGCTAGCAGTGTTTGTGCTTTCAGCAGGGGAGTGGGGTGAAGAATTTTTTTTTAAAGATTTTTTTATTTATGCATACAAGAGCTGGGATACAGGCCAGAGGTGTGGGTGGTGAGAGGATTCACCAGAGACAGAGTGGGAAACAGAACAGGCAGATTGACTGAAATACACTGCTGAGGGGAGCAGTGGGCGAGACAGGAGAGGTCTGCTGTGCCATGTGGGTAGCTCCCTGGCCAGGGATCGAACTCATGCTGCAGTGGCTGCAAATAGCTTCATAAGTTGCTTCTTAACCCCTTGCACCACCAGGGAAGCCTGGGCTGAAGAATTTTTATGAAGATTTATTGTTTATTGGACCTAGAAAGTTCCAAGACAGAGGAAGGGTTTGTCTGGAGAGTCAGGTCTTCAGGAGAGTGAGGGACCCCAGGTTGAAAACACTTGAGTGCCCGAAGGCAGGGGGCTGGATTCCATGGCTGGTTTCAGGATCAAATGAGAACTGAAAGGAGCCAAGCCTGGCCCCTTGACCTCCTGCCTGGCTTTAGCCCAGGGATTCTCCCCAGACCTTTCTCTTTGGCCCACTGCTCACTATGGTGTCTCCTGTACCACCTCCCCTGCTGGCTTTTGCCCTAGGCCCTCGGTGAGGGGTATTCCAGGCTTTCCCACCCTGGGTGATCCTGTCCAGCAGTCAGGGCTACTGCACTTGTGGGGGTGGGGGCATTGAGAGAGGGTTCTCAGCCACAGCCAGATTGGCACAGACTGGCAATGGATGTTGTCATTCAGAACCCTCGAGCCTCCTCTCCAGGACGTTGCTTGTCTCCCTTCTCATCCTCAGGGGCTCCTGGGAGGGGGCCTGTTAGCACAGAGGTTGAACATCAGGAGGCACCCTGAGAACTGAGTGCAACTCAAATGTTCTAGGGGGCCCTACTTGATGAGGGGGGCAGCAGGGTAGCAGTTGGGGGTTCTGAGAAAACCCCTCTGGGGCTGGTGCTCCTGCATTTGCCCCCACCTGGGGAATAAACTCCAACCTCTCCCCACCCCAAGAAGTGGCCAGGTGGGTTTGTTTATAGGACCTTTGAGGCCAAAATACTGACACCCCTATTTGTCGGTGGAGGGAGGGAGCAAGCCCAGGGTATCTTTGTCACTTTGGGGTCAGATCAGGCTAGGGAAGATAACAGAAGTGGAACCTGCTGTTCACAGGCCCCAACTCTGGAAGGAGGGGTCATGAGTCATAGGCCCCAGGGATCCCCAGGGAGGAGAGAGGCAAAGCAGCTGATTTGGGCAGAGTCTCGTGGGGCAAACGATGGCAGAGGTGGGACAGGAGCTGAGGTCTCTGTGCACACTGGGAACATCCCTTGCCTGCCCTGCCCCCCACAGGCACCCCACACAAATACACACCACTGAGTACCCACTCCCACACATATGCACTGGTTCACCTTCAAAACCCAGAAGAGTTGAGAAAGAGAGAAGCCACCAGCAGAGAGCTGCAGGAACAGGCGCAGCTGGGACATTCCTCCATTCAGCGAGGCCAAATGGAGAGTCCTCTGGTCCTACTAAGGACCTGGCTCAGAGGCCTCTGAAGTATGTGGAAGGAGCGGAGGCCCCCAGAGACCCACCCCCCTGGCAGAGAGGACCACAGGGCCTGAGGATGAGACACCTTCAATGACAGAACTGAGAGGGAGGGTCCCTTGCTGCCCCCACACGCAGACTCTGCCAGACTCTGCCCAAACCAGCCTGGCACCCCCAGGCCGCGATGACTGGTCGGGACATGCCCCCTATCCCAGTTCCCACTCGGCTCATCCCCACTGGCTACATGAACACAGCAGTCCCTGGCTCAGGGCACTGACCAGCCCGTCCCCATCCCCCTGGGGGAGCAGCAAGAACTACTCCCTCACCACTGCCAGCCCCACATTCACCATTTCACCTCCATATTTCTCTGCATGGAAAGAAATAAAACTGAACAACACGCTCCACCGTGGCCCGTGTGTTTGTACTGCTGCGGTTAAGTGACTCCAAACAACTAAGGGGGGGGGGCAGTTCCCTCAGGGCTGGGGCTGCACTGAGGGCGCCTGGGCCCACTTGAGGCACTCCCCTGGGCAGGTCGTTTGTCCTCTCAGGCCTTATTTCTCCAGTATCTTCTGTCCCATCTCGCCTCGCTTGTTCTTTCTGCAGATGAACAAGGATCTCGGGTGTGGGGGGAAGAGGCAGGGAATGACAGGGCACTTTACATGTTGGTAAATCCCCCTGGGGGTGACTGGCATTATCCCAGGCATCATGTCCCAGGTCACACCACGCCTGGCCCAAGGAAGGCACTAAATAATGTTGGTGAACTGGCCCTCCCCGGGGTCTGTCCGATGGCTGCTGTGCTTTGCCTTTCGGAAGGGAAAGGCCCGTGGGAGGAAGGCAGGTGCTAGGAGGGTGGTGAGGCACATGCCGGAGGGCACGTCCATGTCAGGCCTGCAGGACTAAGCAGGAAGGGGGTGCGTCCCGTGGGAGGTGCAAGGGCTTCAGGAGGGCAGGCCGAGGGAAGTCTTGGGTGTGGGTAGAGGCTAAGCTGGGCAAACAGCAGGGAGGAAGGATTGCCAGCTAGCCACAAAGAGCTGTGGGCACAGGGGGCAAGAGGCTGGGAAAAGGAGGGAAGGGTGCAGGGCTGGGTGAGGTGGGGCAGGAAGGGAGGGGGAGGGAGAGTGGCAGGATCTAGGGGCGGTCACAGGAAGTAGAATAGAGTGAGGGAACTGGGGCTAGCCCAGTTGTGTTCAAATCCAGCCTGGCCATTTATTACTGAGTTCCCTTGGGGCAGTTGCTTAAGCTCCCTGTGCTGACGTACCTCACCATCTGCAAACACGAGCATCCAGTGAGGTGATCCACGGAGAGACCCCAGCCTGCAACTTGGGCTGCAGCCTCTTACAGCAGTGAGCCTCAGGGTGAACATGGTGCCGAAGCTAGAAAGTTCATGGGGACTCAGTTCTATTCCCCAGTTCTCTCCCTATCACTGGTCTGCTGCCTCAGCAGTCACAGAGGGCAAGGCCCTGTCCCCCCTCATCCTGCACACAAGGGGTGTGTGTTTTACACACCCAAAGAGCTTGGTGGGAAAATTAATACAGCGCTGACCCTCTAGTGCCCCCCTCCCCACTGCTCTGTGCCTGATTCTCACCCCTGTGCCCCTGGCTTAGCCTCTGAAGGCTGGATAGGTGGGCTCACCGGCCTGGCCTCCCACACACCCCCTGAACAATCAGGAAGCGACTGTGTGCACATCCCTCCGGTTTCATGATTAAGTGCAACAACCTCTGCATGCAGACCTGAGGCCAGCCAGGGGCAGGCAGGCTGAGTCTGACCGAGGCCTTGCTCTGAAGAGCTCCCATGAGAGGGCATGGTAGACAGAGCAGGTGACTATGACGGTGTGTGTCTTCCAGCATTGGAACTGCTGCAGCAAAATACTATAGACTGGAGGGGTGATGAACAACAGAAAACTACTCCTCACAGTTCTGTGGGCTGGGAAGTCCAAGATCAGACTAGGGGTGTGGGGAGGGCTCCCCATGTTCCAGGTGCTGGGCTCGATGTTTTGCACAAATTATGTCATTTAATCCTCACTCCTAACACCTTCATGAGGTGTCTCATATCATTTTCCTGAGAGGAAAATGAAGCTTAGAAAGCCCCAGTGACTTACCCAAGGTCATACAGTCAGACTGCGTGAGCAGGACAGTCTTGTGAACAGGGGCCTCCCCTGCCTCTCATCTGCGAGCTATTCCAAGAGAGTTGGCCATTTCCATGCCCTTCACTGCACTCACGGCTGACATGTGACGGCGTGTTTCTCTGTAACTTCTTGTGTCTGTGCTGCACCATGATCTGCCCCTGGCTGTGGTCACATCCCTTTACCGCCTGATTTGGTTTCTTTGGCACCATTTGTCAGACACCCCTGTCTTAGAAACTTTAAAATGGGGGATAAAAGGAGGGAGCATAGTTTCAGTATCAATGAGAGAAAAGTTGGATCTTCCACAAGACCAAGGCCTCAAATGACAGGTGGCTCTGCCACTGGGACAGGGGACCTGGCCCCTGTGAACCCTGACTCTCCATCTCTAACTGGATGATAAGCTGCACTGCACTCCCACAGGGCGGGTAGAAGCCAATGGCAGGTCCTGGAGAACTGTGGGGACTGGACACA